TTGTATTTGATTTTGTTTTTTTTTAAAACTTTAATATTTTTGTTATTAAGAGCTTTGTAAAATACTTTTAATTGTTGGAGATGACTTTTCACTGTATTTTTCTTTTGAAAAAAATTAAGGGCATTCAGCATACAAGAAAATAAAGGCTCAAACATACTTATGCTATCTCTGACTTTTTGCATTTGGGTCCCCTTTTCCTCATGGTTAATTGATTCACTATAATCTTCTATCATAGCTCCGAGTAAAAAATTAATATTTTTGATTAGATATGCATATATTAAAGTTAAAACTGTGAATCCATTTTTCAATTTAACATTAATATTATTATTATCAACTATAAAACTTGTATCATACATATCGACCTTGTTTAGTAGATCACTTTTAATAGATATTATATTTTTACCATCATTGAATTGATTTTCTCCAATTAACGCCCACCCTTCGTTACTTAGAATATCGTTGTAAAATATTACCATGTTTTCGTCAAAAACCGTTGGTGTCAGCGTTATACATCCAAAACAATCAACATCACAATACATATGCATGAAAACATATATTAAAAAAATCAAGTTTATCATGTTTGGTAGTGTAATAATACTCAGTAATAAGTAAACAAATTGTAAGCACAAGAAAATCTAAATAATGTTCAATATAGTTTTGCGATTATAATCTTAATATATTTATAACTATTTTTGTTTGCATATCTTATTTTGATTATTTACACAAATGTAAAACTAAAGAATTTTATGATGCTTATATAATATTTCAAAATAAAAATATTCATCTAAGGAATATTAAACTCAAAAGCCACAAAAATAACTAAAAAAAAATCGCGGATACGTATTTAGGATCAATCCACCAACATTTTATATAATATAGCTAAAAATCAGCTAGCTATTTCGAAATTTTGAAAAATAAAACAATATTTAATTTAATTTCTTTTCTTATTAGAGATAAATAATAAAAAGTAAAAATTTTACTATAACAGAAACAAGTCGAGGAAAAATATTAACAATATTTTTATTTCATAATTTAAGTTCTACAATTATTTTTTTTTAAGAATTTTGACCATTTGAACCAATTTCTCACATTAACGCTTCCCACTCTTCAGTGCTCCAAATTAAAGCGTCCCCCCAGGCATTTTGGGATTCGACTTAAAGGTAACACTTGATTGTACTCCAAATAATTGCACCCCGTTCACCGTCACTTTAACCACTGGTCGAAAAGTAATTTAGTTAATATTAAATTATTCCAACTAGCAAATAAATAAGTGCGTTTTAAAAACTAAAAATGGTTTTTTTAGTTAGGTTTAATTATTTCAATTATATTTATATTATAATTATATGTTTCTAATAAAGCAAAATGACCAAAATAAATAAACAAATTAAAAATGAAAAATAATAGTAAAAGCACAATTTCTCTAAAAAACTTAAAACCAAATTTTAATTACTAACAAGAGTAATAAATACACTATGATTTTATTTAATAATCTGATATTCCAACTTACAGCATTTATAAATGTTATTAGCTAATTATAAAAAATTAATTTTATGCATAAAATATTCAAATGTTCAATTTTACCCTAATTTTAATAATAATTTTTTAGATGTTTATGTCATTTATCAATCCTTCATGTTGTAAAAATCTGTGCTTTGGATTCTAAATTTAAGTTTTTTGTCAAAAACAAATATTTCAAAAAATATTTTTATTTATAAACGTGCAACCGTTCCAAAACTATCGATAATTTAGACGAGTTAACTGTGACCAACAAGTATTCTTGACAATTTTAGACAATGGTTGGCAGTAATAGATAAAGACTTAGGTTACTATCTGGTTTAAGTATCCTTTAGGGTTGAAATTAATATCTTTTATTGTGTGCGATGCGAAGCAATCCGAAAGTGGTGACAAGGCGTAATTGACAGACAGCAAAATACATCATTAAAAAGCAATAGTGACTCGACTTTGAAATTAAAAGAACCTCATTTATTATTTTATTTTTTTTACACGGTTCTAGTAAAATTTGAAAGCAAATAACGGGGTCTTGATAAATTTAAAATGAAGCGTATTTTTTTCTTCCGTTACATTCACAGTAACAGTTATGTACACTTGGAAAATTAAAGAAAAAAAGTAGAAACGGAAACGGGGCTGTACACCGTACAATTGAGTGTACAATTTACACCACTTACAAAATGCTTCGTTCGAACTCTAGACATTTAAATTGATCGGGAAAACTTATTGTGAATATAATTTAAGATGGTTTACAATAATTACTAGATTTAATCGAAAACTTATTTTGTGCACACAGACGCGTTACGTTGTAGTGTCGTAGTAACAAATTGATCTCTCTGCACGCGCACACGACTCGATGTTAAAAAACAAATGGCAGCGTTAACTTGCGTAATTATTGTTATTATTGGCAAATGTGGTGTGAGTGTAATTATACTGCACCTAGTGATGTACCTACGGTCAATGTGTATACGAATATTACTACTGTTATTATTATTATTCGGTACCATAATAATAATAATGGGTTTTTGCACCAAACACACACGTTTCGGTCATTATGCAGATCAATATTATGTACTTGTATATATATACTAGTAAGCAGAGATCCGGAAATTGATATCCTTTGTAGGAGCATACGTCCCAAAATTTTGCCGCTTTACTTCCCAACAACATGCAAGGCTTTTTATTGTGTTTCTCTTTTTTTTGCTAATTGTTTTATTTATTTTGTTTATATTCGTTACATTCGTAAATAAAAGTGAAATGTTTTAATGATAGTGTTTTATCTCACAATGAAAAACAAATCTTTATTCGAATTAAATGTTTTATTTGCATGACTTGGGAAAATATATATTTTTAAAAAATACATAAAGAAAAAAATGTCGAATCATTCTCAATAAATGTAATAGCAAAACTAAGAATTATTTCCTTCCGATTTCGAACAGGTTCAAGTCAAAATTGCTTATTTTCCGTTAAAAATATAACGAGAACGTAAATTATGATAACACGTTAACCATTTAAGTAAAACAATAATGACGTCCGTTTACCCAACTTAATAAAAAGTTATTTAAAACGGCATGAAGTCGTTGACATTCTTCGTATTTAAGTCAGTATATGTGTATTCCTATTTAATGACTTTTAAACATAAAATCAGTCTGTCTCACAACTGCTTGTATTCCAGCAAACATGTCGTATGATATAAAAATACAAATAGAGGAAATCATAGCTCAGAAATGACTATAAAATAGTAGTTAAAAATGATACTTTGTTACGTGTATTAGCTCAGAGTAATTTTTTATGCTAAAATTACCAGGTCAACTTTAAAGCATTCTTATTATATTTTTATATTCGCATAAAATATGCGATTTAAAACATCTGATTTTACCTAACTTTGTTGCATTTTTTTTTTTTTCTTTAAACGTGATATTAATTAAAATGAGTAGCTGCTATAAAATAATTGGCTTAAAATATATAAGCATTACTTTGAAAACTAAAAACGAGTATTAGCATTACAAAAGAAACTCGAACGTTTGTTTTATTACGACAATAAGCTTCAAGTCAAGTACCAAATGTCGGTCATTCGAGTAAATCTTTATTTTTTAATTTAGAACGCGTCACGAATATATAGGTCGGATTAAATTGGCCCTCCGTTTGCTTTGAGTTGCTACTTGCCAGTAAATATTTCGCCGAATAGACAGCTCGGGATGGGACACATGTGTTTTATAAACGCCTCGATTCGTACAAACACTCGAATGTGTTGTATTTCGTATCCGTGTGAAAGGAACTAAAGATATTAAAAACTAATCGAATTTTATGCAACATTTCATTTTGCCATTTAAATTGCCAATGACTACCATCAGTTTTTGTTCGGTGAAAAACACGCGTATGCTTTTTAAAGCTTGTTAGCATCCGAAAATAAATCGTTTGATTTATTAGTAATAAATCATTTCAGAGGCAGAAATGAAACACTTGCAAAAATGTCTGAGTGGTTGATTTTGAGCTGTAGAGTATATAAAGAACACATGCAAATAAATAAATACGACTGGTTTTAAGCATCTTATAGGAGTACTTATTGTTGTGTGCTGATAGACGAGGTACAGTTGTATTTTAGTTTGAATATGCACTTTTTTAGTTTTTCGCGAACAAAATCCTATGAGTTTTCTAGTAAGGATTAAATGTAAGATAAACTAATACAAAATAACAGGTCTGTTGTACTAGAATAGTGTTTTCGCTTTCGGTTTAAAACTCATAAACGGACTAGATAAAGTAGAACTTTAAGGAAGACAAAAGATAAGTTTTTAAATTTCACAACCGTCTGGGACCGCGAGACAAACTATGTTTTTATCGCTAGATGTACTTGAACTCGCATAAAGTTTTTTATGAACATTAAAAAAATGTTAAATGTCACACAAAATACATTCTGTTCTGTGGAAATACCAAAGAGACGTTATCACGTATTTTAAGTAACGGGCTGTACGAATAACTGAAAAAAAAAAACTAAAAAAACGATTATATTTTATGTGTTTGGTACTTGATGAGCACAAAACTATTTATTAAAATAACTTTTTAAGAGTAAAACTTTCGGCATTTTCAGAAGAGTAAACATTGTATGAGAAAATTCTCTTCGGTTTTTTTAAATTTTAGTGCGATTTTATATCTATAAAAATCAGCGTATTTTAACTTAAACTAAATACAAACCATTAGTTATCAACGTTATTTATATGTTCACCAAAGTTTATTATGAAAACAAATCAAATTAATGGTATGAAAAAAGCGTACTTTTATAGTTTTTATCATTTTTTATGAAGTATCAAATTTTAATAGATTGCTGAGAACGAGATGTACTCAATGGGTTATATCAATTTTCGATTAAAGTTGTCTACAATAAGTTTAATTTTGTCTGAAATGGTTAAAGGGTTATCATTGTACCGTGATAATTTTAAAGTTTATTTAAACTACTTAGATGAAAAAATAGTATAAAAATTTATGACACTTACGGACATAAATGTTTGACAATAAGGTGGCGGGCAAACAAAATACCAGAACGAGAATATCGGCCACGGCCAAATTGACAATAAAGTAGTTTGTAACGTTTCGCATTCGAGGTGATCGGCATACGACAGATACAACCAGCAAATTACCGAACAGACCAACTAAAAATACCATGGTGTATGCAAAACAGTATACGGCCGTCATGGCGGGGCTGTGCCTGTACCAAAGTTCTCCAGGGCCTAATCCACCTCCGGAACTAGAACCACCACCATCACCTCCACTGCCATCTGCGTCGCCAGAAGCCAAACCACCAGTACCATCCCCACCTGACGAAGCATACGTTTCGGTAGAACTGACCACGGGGGCTAACATATCAAATAGAGAGTTGCCCAACATATCCATTAGACCAGGCTCGATGACCATCCTGGTGATGGACGTCGTATTGTTATCAGTGATCATAGTGTTGAATGGTAATTCCGTCCACGATTAGACCATGGTGACAGTCGAGTGGACTCGATTTGGGGGGTTCGTGACCCAAACAGTAGGGTGCGTAACCTGTTGCGGAGGACGACGATCCGCCTATACCGTTACGAGACGGCAAGGGACACGTCTGGACGGCGTGACGCGCGATGACTGTTTGCGCGCCGAACGCCCGGGTACTATGCACGGCAACCCTGCAGTCTATTCGCTCCGTCCCTATGCTGCTGCCACGCTGCTTCCGTGCCGCTCGTTTACCCGCTCGTGTATAAGCCTCGTAAACGGACATCATTTCGCACTATTTTATTTTTAAACATTTTTTTAGCGCCCTCCGCTTCCTCCCCTCTAACCAAACGGTCTTCCAATCAAAATATTGTCTTTAATGCGAGTTGACCTTATTCGCTGTATTCTATACGTAAATTTCTCCTACAAACTCGGAGAAATCGACTTTGATAAGAATGACACATAAAAGTACAATGTATCGAATAATAAAAAAAAGTATGATAGGGTTTGAATACGTTGAGATTGTCATCAGCTATGTTCAATTAGTAGGAATTAAAGTTCTAAATAAAAATAATTATTTAAATTTAAAATTCAAATATTGATATGTTTATTTATTTATCTTTACATACTACTTTTCGAGGTTTTATCTTTTAAATTTTATTTAATTCTCGTGCACAATATCGAAATAAAAACAAATATATTTTTAAATAAATATACACGTTTATCAAATAAATAAATAATTTTAATTTTACAAATATATATTAATTACTTTTAGAATTTATTTCAGGATATTTTCACTTTTATTCAGAGTTTGATTAAGTACGATAATGGATTACAAAATACAGACTCCTATTTGTTACTCGTTTTGATGTATTCCTTCCCTAAATTTTAACATTTCTTAAAATATATTTTTTTTTATGTAGGATTATATAACCGATCTATAGAGAAAATTGTTATGTCTTAAAACATAATTTTTGAAATGACAAAATTTTTTACTTAAAACTTGATTATCTATTGATTTTATTTTACTTTTTATAATTTGCCTTTTCTTCTGGAATATCTTATAGTTATTCATTAAACATGTAAACCCTAATGATTTTAATGTAATCCACACAACAGTCTTTTTGGTTATATTAAAATCAAACAGTTGTCTATACTGATCAGTAATTGAGCTAATAATCTTCCTTCTATTCGTATAACGAAAGATTCACGAATCAATAGTAAAGTAACTCAAGACTTCAAAGACGTTGTATATTTTCTTATACATTTCAATAATTTTGTAATCAATATTAATTAATTAAAATAAACTAGGAATTATGTTGTGTTTTAAATACTAAAAAAAAAGATGAAAACTTGTTTGTTTTAAAGAAAATGTATAACTATACATTTCATAGACTCTTTCACGATCTTTGTTGAAATATTAAATTGAAAGGCTCCAAGTTATAATAATTGTTGATAACCCTTATTAATAATGAAAGTGCACTGATCAATTTATTTTTATACTAGTAGCATTTTTTAAAGGAGCAGTCATTCCAAAGTCTATAGTAAGATTAATAAGTTGTCTCGTAGTAATTGGATAAGACATTATGGATCACTGTTGGGAAACTCTAGGTACCTAAAGTATAAAGTAATACTATCTTTTGTCTAATATATAAATGATTATCTAATCGTCATCTGAGAATCATTTTTTGTTATCTAGATATTTTATTAATATTTTAATAATTAAATATATCTAATATATTATCAGATATTTTAATCTACGAGTAAAGAGATGTTCTACAGTACTTTGAGTTTGATGATATTTTCCAAAAATTGTTTTACTATCATACTTCATACACTTTTATACAACACACTATGATGAAATTATAAACCTCAGGGATGCTGTCATATGGTAATACACTGACACGTGTATAATTTTACTTCATATTACTGTCAATTTTGAATAAAGCGATAACCAAAAATATATTTCAGGATTTTCGGTATACATATTAATTGCATAATAGCTGGATTATTATGTCTATGAGAATTCTACACAAAATAGTTAGCTATAAATAATAGAACTGCTAAGAATACAATATAAGAAAACAAATATTTTTTTATCTTACATTGTTTCAAATTAATCGTGTTTAACGTTCTCTCTAAATGTCATTGCACGTGTCTGAAAATACATGAAAACCTAGAAAGCCCATCACGACGAAATCGGTACCTGCATTCCGAGGCAAAACGCATCACCAACTGAGCTGGATAGGTCTCCCAGCTCAATAAGAGTTTAGATAACAATCTAATTTTATAAAGTAAGGTACAGTTGGGATTCAGGGTAATGGAACTGAGGAATTTTTTTTTTAAACTAGTATTGTATATTGTCTGATAAAAATCATATTTACCAAAAATTTTTGATGTAACGAAGCTTGTAGTCCCATTTTGAAGCGCCCCATTTTATGGTATAGCTAGTGCGTATAATTTCATTTAAAATTTCGTTAGAATTTTCATTCTAAGGTGACAATAAGTTCAACTAATTATTTAAACAAATAATAATAATAATAATCACTTTGTATAATTATTTGTAATAATTAATTGTAAAAGTAATTATTAACATTCATAAAAGAAAAAATCAAAATAATTATAGTAGTTTAAATATATTTAAAAAGAAAAAAATATAATTAAAACAAGTGTTTAATATGGTTAATCATAAAATAATAATAATTTAATATGATAATATGATGTTAATGAGTTATTAAGAATACTGTCAGGTATATATTTTATAAATAAATAATTTGTCCTAGAGTTTATGTGATGGAACGACATTTACTAATCCAAAGTTGGAGCTATACTGACGTCTTGGCTTGTTTTTGTCATTATTATTGATGTTATTGTTTTTCTTTATCGCATTATTTTGTTGTTTTTATCATTTTAGTTGTTATTCTTTTTGTCTTATCATGTTTTTCGTTGTTGTTATTCATGAAAAAAACTAGTCAATTTATATCTACCTTATCTATACTTGTAGTCATCTGATTTCTGAGGACATATCTTACTATGGTAAAAATATGTTCATAATTATGTATATATTTTTGAATGGACTAATTTATGAATAAGAAGTTAGTATGCTCCAACCATGTTAGCGTTATCAGTAATGTGTTACCGGTAGACGGGTCAATATAGTTGTTTGCATTGCAATACATCATTCTCACAAGATCAAAATGCCTATGGCACAAATAAATCTTATTGATTCACACAGATTAATAATCCATACGACCATTGGTCTTTCGGTAGTAGCAATAAATTTAAATGTAACCTATTAGTAGGAATTAAAAGAAAATGTGTTTTCTATGACACGAAGAAAAATGCTTTAGTACCGTCCTTTATAACTTATGAAATGTCAACTTTATTTCTTTAAATGGCAACATACATATTTAACTAGCTTATAAAATAGAAAATTAGATATCGAAAACTAATTATGAACCAGTACTTCGGATATTATCCCAATTGGGAAGATGATTGCGGTTAGAGAAATGTCTAGTGATGAAAAAAGTCATACACACTCTCTATCTCTAGTAGTGATTTAGGTCTCAATTATTTTAAAAGAATAATTTTGAAATATATAATAAATATATAGTATACTAAATACTATATATAAAGTTGAAATATATCATAAAATTGTGAAATATTGGTACATCATAACTGCTTAAAATTCTATTAGTATTAAAGTTATAACCTTAATATTATAATCAGAAGAGGATGAGGCAAATTTAAATCCTTAATATTCAATTGAAACTCTTAAAGAAAGTATTCAATATATTAACTTAAAACATAGTATATATAATACTTAATATATTGAGATTGATTGTAAAAAGCTCATTAATTAATATTTATTACTTTAAGAATTATTAATTAATAAGAAAAAAGGTCAAACTTGCCCAAGCGTTGGGCAAAAGTATAAGTGCGAAAGGACTTATTTCCAAAAGTATATATATTTTGAATTTTGCTTTTTCCTATTTAGTTATAAACTAATTCATCCAGAAAAACCAAAATTATAAACAAAAAATTAGAAATATTTTCAAGGATGTAATAGTTACTATATTTTCAAATACTTATAAAATAAGTTCGCAAACGTGACTAAATATAAAGAGATCATTTTGTTCCCAGAGTCAATTTGCTCCGCTCTCCCTTTATAGTTTTTTTTGAGAGCAATTGCATCATTCATGTCTGAATAAAACTACATAAGGAACATATTATATTGCTAATAAGTCAACAATAAATGGTTGTACATTAATCTTTGTAACTAACAAGATGTTTTAACGAAGAAGTTTCTTATTATTTGGTAACTGAAATAAAAATGTAATGTAAAGATTTTTAGGACTGAAATAATTTTAATAGGTTTATTTTTAAAACCAGTTTTAATTTGGCTGAAGGTAAAGTAGTGCTCTAAAAAAATATAACATTAAGCTTCCTAAATTAATTATTTAGTTATTGAAATTCTATATAGTTTTACTTAAGGAATTATTTTCAATTAAAAATCAAAAGTTATTGTATTATTATAATTTTCGTGTGGAGTTAGATTCCAAATAATAAAGAATACCAATAATATAATTTTAATATTAAATAATTTTAAATAAATATACGCATATATTTAATGTTTCGTTATATCAGTATACAATTACAGGAATAAGTGATTAACATATTTAAGTTTAAATTAAAAATTTTCAATTGTTTATATTTTAATTTGTACTTGAAATGTTTCACGATCCGTTTTTTATTTTGTGTAATTAAAAATCATTAATTTATATTTTAAAATATTAATAATTTCCAAATACTAGCCCAAAAGTTGTTATCGAACATCATATTTCTTAATTAGATCATTTTATATTATATAGGCTAGTTTTTTAACTTACTTTTCACAAAATTGTAATCATGATTATTACATTTTTAACTTTTATTTTATAACCCTTTGTTTGCAATTAATTAGATAATTGAACAAATAATTAAGACATATAAAATCTAATTACACCACTTGGTTCAGCGTATTATGCCAATTCGTGAAACATACATCGTGTATATTAACTTAATTTAATTAAAACTATGATGGAAAAGTAATTACAACAAAAACAATTTTTACGAAATTTCAAGATTTACGCATGTTTTCAATTATCATTTCATATTATGTCGGTTTT